AGTTTTATACAATCTCTTCGAAAGTTAGCCCATAGAAAAGACTGTAGCTGTTGGAGCATTGGGAGACTGAAGTGTTATGCCCACAGAGGACCTGGCCTGTACAGATATTTATTTATTTATTTATTTATTGAACAGTCATACACCAGCAATTTTGTAGAAGTCTCAATTAACCTATTATTAGTACCGATGGCATCTTCAGTCTGTGTTTAACGTAAAAAGATATTTTCGGCTACTTTGTAGCGGGTTTTATTACAGTGACGTAATTGTCACAAATTTAACATCAAACGGACACTTATGGTTGAAAGTGCCTCACATTGCCCTCCCTCGTATTCAACTTGCTGCTGTTCATAGAACAGCTAAGCGGAGCACATAGCTACTCTAACCGATCACGAGTAGCGGTAGCTATTCATTGCAATCGATGTGAGCACCGTTCGCAAAAAAAAAAAAAAAAAAAAAAGAAAAAGACGACAACACTTTATTTGGCATGAGCAAAAATAGATTTTGGTTTTCAAGCAAATTCAAAGTGAATAGTAATAGTTCTTTCGGTCGAATATTTTTTAATTGAATATTGAAGACTTTTTGCACCTTTCTCCATGCCTTTTACTACTGTTCCACCACGCTTAAACAAAAATTCAGCTGGACTCACGAAGGTTGTTCCTAATTGCCCACTTATGAGTAGTTAAATTTAATCTAGCTATATTTATAGACTGTAGCCTCAGAACGTCCAGTACCTACAGTAAGATGGCAAGTGAATGACAAATTTGACATAAAATTAAGCCTATAAAGGAGCCTAGCCATACATAATTGAGGGGATTTTTAAAATTTTCTGCCTATATAAAAATATTTTTGTTGATTCTGAATTAAAAAAAAGCACAAACAATAAACAGAGGTTTTTTGAACATTGCTGCCTACAGCCTGTTGTAACTCAAGAAGGTAGGGTGAGGGTAAGACGGGCCAGGAGAGAGGAAGCAGACGGAATGCTGGAGAAGAGAGGGGGAAATCTCTCTTAAGTGTTCCGTCTGCTTCCTCTGCCCCGGCCCGTCTTACCTTCACCCTACCTTCTTGACTTGCAAGGGACTCTAACATATACCCTTGAATAATAGTCACAGTTAAATTTTGAAGATTTTACTGCAATGTAATAATATTAATAACGATCCCAAAACTTTTATGTTTTTTTTTTTTTTTTTTTCTTTTAGTATACATTAGGCCTGCATGTGCACCATACTAGTTTGAAGATGTGCTTTTCGCATAACCGCGCGAATGAGCTGCGGCGAAGTGGGTAGCGAGATCACTGTGTCAGCTTCATGGGTATTGCTTCTCCGCAGTGCAACTGTGTTTGAGGAGAAGCGCACTCAAGGGGGCTAACCCACCGCAATCAACCGGCGGACACTTCAAGCGACTTCCGTTTAGCTATTTGAGCGCCATCTCTTATCCGTTGGTATTCTATTAAGTCTTTCCGGTTTACGCCAGAAAGTTTATTTAATAGAATGAGATACATATTATTGTTGCTGCTTACAGATTTCAAAAATTATCCTGGTAAGATGAAACAAATATTTTGGTTAGCTAAAGTTTTGCCCTCATACTTTGCTCTCATTGGCCAGTTGTTTTTTGTATTTTGACCGTTGAGAACAGTTGCGCGTCGGCTGCCGCGCTCGCGGATGTATGCTGCTCGAGGGAGCCTGTGCCAACGGTGCGGTGGTGGTTTTCGTTTGCGGCAGCGGGCAGTGGCGTTGACCTATTGGTTATTGGTCTATTTCTTCTACCAAAACACGGAGGAAACGAAACCTTGTCTATTGCTCGACTCAGTGGTGCTCTAATTCCAGTGGCAACATCTCTGCCAAGTTATTGGGTTCCCGATCGAGTGACGAAAGGTAAAGACGGGCTGCTATACTTTTGGTTATACAGTTTCGGATTGCCGAAAATTTGCTGGTGCATGTTTCTTTATGGTAGAGTTATTGTAGAAGGTCACAAGGGATAGCGCATGTATCTTAAAATGAGCGGTGTGGGCGGTATCGGTGTTAGAGCACCGCAGCTCGTGCGTGGAGCTGCTCGCTGCAGAAGGAACCTGCGAGATACCACGGCGATCGAATCACTGTCGCTAAGTGCCGCAAAGTTAAATGTGTTATTGCTGGTCTGTGAATACTTGAATAGTAGTTTCGTGTAGATTTTGTTACTTTGTTGTGCCGTGCAGTGAACGTTTTTTTTTTCTCTGTATAAAGAGCGTGTCTAATAAAAAGAGAACTTGCAAAAGAAGTTCGGACTTGTGCTCAGACTGGCGATGAGCGCCCATCTTAAGCCGCTAAACAGCAGCGGCTGGGCGTACTTTGCATTCATTGAGTGACGATTTTATGAGAACTGGCTGTCACTGAACATGCACTGTTGCCAAGCTGATATCAATCGAGCGACGCAAAGTCAAGTGCAATCGTTTCGAAGCGTCGGACATTCGCAAAAAAAAAAAAGGTAAACACATTGTATTGTAGAAGAACGAGACGGCGGCAATGGGAGCAGTTCCCTCTTCTCTCAACATCAGCGACAATAGGATGCAAATTCGTTCGGAGTTCGGAGGCTGCTCCGAACTCCGAACGAACTCGCATCCTTTTGTCGCCGAGGGGGAGAGAGAGGGAGAGGAGGGACCACACTTCTCACACCCTCTCCCATAACCAAGCGGTTGCCATGACGACGGCGCGCGTATTGTTTTGTCTATTTTTTATTGCTGTTGGAGAAACCCAACGCCCGTTAGGGGAGATTTGGCGCTGCCGTCTGCAATTGGAGTCCCAATGGGAGGTATAGGAAGAGTCCGCCGGTTGCCGCAATCAACACTTCGAAATGTATGAATATTGCAGTTAATTTTTTTAAGCGAATATCACCATATTATTTCAAACTACTATTAGAAAATTAAAATATTCGCGTAGCTCTATTCTTCGCACATACTACTTAGGCATCAAGAAAAAAAAACTACTTTCTTAACTTTCAGTGGCATCGCTTGTCCCGTGCCAGACACTTTCAGTTTCCTTTTCGAGAACTGCTCCCTTTCGGCGCAGACATGACGCAAATTGCGCGCAAATACAGCCTTTAGAGCAGCATGTAGCAGGTTATTCATTCTGGCACAGTTTGGCGCAATTAGCGCAGCAGTTTTACCACTGAATATAGCAACGTTTTGTTGTTTACGTTGCAAATTTAATTGAATGTCATGTATAAATCACAAAAGTTGTATTTTGCATGATAATGTCTTTCTAAATCTGTGCTTATTTTTGTTTAGGAGCATATTAGGCTCAGTGTATCTAGTGATGTTTGAAGATATCATGCTGAGTGATATACAACAATAGTGAGGTGAATTTCTATCTCCGAACCTATGTACCTACTTTTTGTATAACATGTATTAAGTTATGTTAACCGTTTAGTTAACGCGTTTTCTGGATATATTTATTACCCTGATTGTTTTTCCTGCATCTCCGTCACCATCCGCCAAGCTCTCGGGGCCCGGACCTAGTAAGCCAACAAAGATTGGCTTTTTTGTCCGTGGTTTCGACATCTGTACTTGCAGATGCAATAAATGATTTGATTTAATGTACAGGGATTACATGGCTGATTTTTAAAAAGGCCCTGCAAGGACTTTTGTACTGGTTTTTAATTTGCACCGAACCTGAGTGCACTGAACGTCGTATCTTAATGAAACTGTTCTTTTCACGAATTTTACTTTATTTTAAAAGATATAGGCAAATTAAAAAAACAAAAACAAGCACAAAAACCCTCTTTCATGACGTCCTCGTCGCTTGAGTGGTCGTGACCTAGAGCAGGGTTAGTGAGCTCAACAAGCACACACGGCTGCCGCACTCCATGTCGACGGCTCGAGAGGGCGCCACTAAAGCATGTTCCGGCTAGGCTGTATGAAGCGGGCGGCCAGGGTGGCTCGCACTGCACTTGCTGCACGATTAAACACTGATTCAGCATGACACTTCATTGGCCACCAACGACAGCAAACACGAGTTAAAAATCAGTTCAGAAAGGCAGCCACTTGGCGCTACCATACCACCAAACGGCCAAATCGCAAGCCAAATCTGCTCGCCAAAGGCCTTCGAAACACTCAAAACCAGTCGGATCCTCGAGCCCGTATACGACCGCAGCGCCGCCACGTACATCGGAGACCTTTCTACACTCGCCGCTCATCGGTGCCTGACCCCACTACCCCTCTAGTATGCGCCGCCTTTTCCACCGATTGGTGGTGGATATGTCGACGGGTCATTTCTTGTTTCCGTCTTTATAAACTGCATTTGTTTCTTTTCTGATCTAATATACTGAACAAAAAGTACTTTCATAAATATCTGAAACGGTTCGCGCCACTTATATTTTGTATTTCGACTAAAAAGAAGCTTTTAGCGGGTCTGACCAGTAGACTACACAAATTGCGCGCTTTCGGCACCGCAGGTCGCCCCCGTAGGTGGAGGAGGTTTCCACATTGTCCGGTTAAAATATAATGCACTGGTATTTAGTTACTCTCTCCGTGCCCGCTGCCTTGCCCGAACCCCAATAGATTTGGAAACCGCAAAGAAGGTAGACGCTTAAATATGATTGCAGGGCCCCTTTAAGTCAAGAGGTATGCTACCAGAGGAGTGATTCTCGATAGATGTCAGTTAGAACCAGAAATTCTATAGGCTTGGTGTTTTCCATGACTGCAATTTATGTGGTTGCCACCAGAACTTGTGGAAAGTTCCAGATCTTCAATGGCTAAGGATGTATATCTAACAATTATATTCTGCAGATATTGAACAGGGAATTGCCATTATTACACAAATAATTACAATGCTCCGTGAAGTAATTCCACTAAAGAATAAAACTGAACATACCAACAGCCTCCTGTCAGCAGCTTCCATGAGTCTTGGTAGTTTCAAACCGCAACATGTCCTCTAGAAGTGGAGCATAAATGGCTCTGGTCTGTGCCTGGTCTGGTGCTCTAGCTGTCTGAGGGCCACGAGTCCACAGTCACTTGAGCCTTCGTTTCACCTCTCTATTCTTCTACACGGGCCACAAGCTGTAGTACCAGGCTTGCAGTAGAAAAGAAACTGAAGGTGTTAAAGATGCACTTCTGAAAAGACAAGGCACAAAAAAAACCATCAACTACTTAGCTTGAAAGGTGCTAAAAAAGAAAATCATACAGATTTAATTAGAACAAAACTTTGAAGATTCATCTCAACCACCCAGGTATTGTAAACCTAGACTGATCTTGCAGCACAATAAGCCTCAGTCAAATTGCAGGAACCTCAGTCTGGTTTACAACCTAATAACTCGGCATCTTGCCTCAAAGCCAACTTTCAATTAACAGCTAATACATTAAACCCTGATGATACAGCACCAATAAGAGATGAGCATGGTCATGACAGCCTGCTTGACTTACAGTGTCAAGTTAAGGGTTAATCAATGAAACTATTCTCCTATGCCCTTGAAAACTGTGGTTGAGACAAACGTTACAACCAAAAAGATACTTCAAGTAGCTCTCAGCATGCGCTGTACAAGCAGAAGTGTCAAGGGAAGGTTGAAAGGGCCACAGGAAAGCACTGGCTTCCCAAACCTTAGATCCGCCACCCGAAAAACACCCTACTTTCACAGGGGGGAGGGAGCTAGCCTTGCGGCTACAATTTCAGCTATCTGCTCACGTGATAGGGACAGTATACCCAACCTCGACATCAGATTGGACATAGTCTGAAGGTTCAGTTGACTGACTGCTTACAAAGCAAATTGCACGGACCAGAGGAGCCTGCTTTAGTATGTTGGTCAGCGACTGTGTGCTGAAAAATTAACAAATAGAGAAGAGTCATGCTAATGCAGTGCTTATATCTGTAGTGAGTTTGAAACAAAAAGATTATGCACGTAAAATGCTTTCAACAGGCTTGTGAATGTGCATTAAAAATTTGCATAAAGATGTTGGCCTGAACTAGGTTTCGGTCGGTGCTGCTTCGATTGCTCACAACTGATCTCATTCCAGGGGTAGTGATTAACAGAAATAAAACAGGCACAAAGGCTGTTTCACACACTTGCGACTGCTTCTGGCTGGAGAGGTTAAAAGACTGGCTTTAAACCTCTATAAATGCTTATGACTGCCGTGCCGGTTGTAGGCAGTTGCAAGTGTGTGAACCATGCCTGCTTTCTTCTGCAGTAATACACTGCACAAGGAAACTTATTGTATGTTTCTATAGTTGCAACACAAGAATGCGGTGAGACTGGAGTATTCAAGTTCTAGTGCGGTGAATCACAGTTTGCTCTTCTATTTAGGCCTGCAAGAATGATGTCCTGGGAAAAATAACAACATCAAGCCTATACAAACAAAAACACCTACCTGCTTCCAATCATACTTTGAAAAGACCTTGTTTTTTAAGGCATGGCCAATAAAAGAAAAAGCTGATGGCCATAGAGAATCTTCTGTCACAGAAATAACACTACATACTGCCATATATGTCAGGATAGACCATATCCCAAATTAACCATGCACAAAAGAGAATGCTGAGAATGTATGAACATACACTGCATGTGCTGGTGTCTGCAAGTGAATCTGTTCAAAGGTAAAAATCTAAAATAAATAGCACATTGCACACACATTCCTCGAAACCCTATTTTAGTTTTTTGCCTCGAATCCTTTATGCAGAGAAGGCAAGCGTGTGCAGCATGTGTACCTACGTTTCCAGCATTCCCCTTGGTGCTTGGGTAATTAGCAAAAAGTCTATTGCTGAAGTTGTGTCAAATGTGTGTCCAAGCAACACACTGTGGTCGTTGCAGACATCGTGGTTGCAACGAATGCTGTCAAAGCTACAGCTCCTGATGCAAATTTCTGGAAGGGCCATTAGAGGTAAGCACACATGTCAAAAAGTCGGTGAGGGGGGGGGGGGGGGGGGCAACTTACCGGTGAAATTCCGCTGCCTCAAAGAATCATGACCACCTGTGACATCTTTGGGCGATAGTAGCTCCTGGGGTGCTATTAGAAAATAAGATGGATTGTTAGGTACAAATCTTCTAATACTCAGAATTTAAAAAATAACTATCAATTGAGTACAGAACCCTCAGATGCATCTGCTATATAAATGCTTGTGCAGCGAGAGCACATTCGAAAAATGCGACCTCCTGCTGAAAATAACAATGTATGTATGCTTTACATGCAGCATTTCTTTGCAGAGCTGGTGGTTGCATATTATCACTGTTCTTGAACATCCACTTCTATGGTGCACAACCATGTGTTCTATGTTGAAAGAGAACACAGGGCTCTGCAAAGAGAACACATGGCTCTCAAACCAATAAGTGTTTTCACGACATTGTCATACCTACAAGTGTTCATTCTGTTTGTTTGTTTTTTCCTGTGTTTATCTCTGAGACATATGATAGTTATCTCTTCGCTGTTTTTGTAGCTCGCTTTGTCAAGAAGATGAAAGAGAATACCTTGTCAAGCAAACAACTGTTGGCTTTTTGTCTGCCTCCCAGCATTTGTACTTGTACAGGTGCAAATAAAATGATTAATTGATTGATTGAACTAACACAAAACGGAAGTGCAACAATCTAATTCATTCCCTATAATCAAACAACAGAATTCACGTTCGAAAACAATACAGGTGCCTTCACTAAGGGAAGAGAAAGGTAAAATGTAGGCTTCAAAAAGCAAACATATTGTAGCCAATAGCGTCATGTCACTTGACACTCAGCAGACTACTTCCCGCTGCATATGCTTAGCTGTTGGCATAGGCACATAGCCCCCTGCTTCTCTCATTCACCGTCCTCTCCCCCCTCCCTCTTTGTGTCATACCCTCATGGAGCTTTGGGAAGCAACTTGAAGCCAATATATATTTTGTTGCAAGTTAAAAGCCTGGGTCATCTGTATTATATTTTATGTCCATCTTTGGCTTGCCCAGTTTTCTCGCTAGACTGGGCAGGCGACAATCAAATGCAGGCGCACTTACTGCTCCCTCTCTTAAATCTAGGCTCTCTCCGTCATCTCCGCCGGCATGTTGTCGTTAGCGCTCCGAACGCCTCTATCGGCATGCCACAACGGCTTCTCCGCGTGCAATGCGGTAAAGCTGCTTCCCAGATAAGGAGCGGAGAGCAGACGACGGCCTTTCCCGCATCTTCTACTGCCTGTTTTGGGTGCCTTCTTGGTCGTGACAGTAAAGTGCGGCGGTCTGAGGCTTAGAACCAGTTGCACCAATGCAGCTTAACGCAAATCAGAGCTTAGCAGGGAACCTAAGCCGAGTTTTGGTTTTGTTCTGTTGCACCAAAATCACTTATTGCTAAACCTAGCACTAAACCATGCCTATCGTGAGCGCTCAACATCGGGTACTTTACTTGGTTGTTTCTTAATCCTGGATTTAAAACATGTCGGCTGGTTTGTGGCGGTCTACACGGTGGACGAAATTGGTTGTACAAAGTGTTTTAGTCTACAGCAGCGTGAGAGCCTCAACAGAATGACCTTCGATTGCGACAGATGCAAAATATTATGTGAAGTGTTTATCGACCCGTTTTCAAGTTGACTTTCCACTCTCAGTGTGTGTTAGCCCTAACCAGGGAAGGTATGCAGATGTGGGGCTCACGCACGGCTCACGTCCATCTTCCCATTGGTTTTTATTTCAGCGTGCTTATTCGTATGCAGTTATTTGCGCATATCTGTAACGTATTGCTATTTACAACCTTGTTTATCTTAGAGCGCAGCTCTTAGGCGCCCGTTTCCGGCTTGAGTGGAGTCGGCGTAACCGCACGGTGCATTATGGGACACTACCCGTGATGCAATGCGCAGGGAGGAGGATGAGGGGGAGGGAAGGAAGGAGGAGGAGGGGGAAGAGAAGGAAAGAGGGGGGAGAGAGGAGCTTGAAGGATGAGGTGAGGGGGAGGTGAAGGAGGATGAGGAGGAGGGGAGGAGTAGCAAGGGGGATGAGTGGGTGAGGAGGAGCAGGGAGAGGGGATATACCCTCCCCTCAGTACCCTTCCCTCGTCTTCTTTAAGAGCTGTGCTCTAATTCGGCGTTACAGGGTGTTGTAAACGTCAGATTTTTACTTTCAACGCATTTCCTTTTTTCCAATCGGCGCGTTGAATAGCGGCAGTGCACGATCTCGGCGATCAGCCGATTGTAGCCCCATTCTTCCGTTCTCATTAAATTGCGGTGAACAACGCATTTAGACAATAATGCAACGAAAAGGTTTTTTTTTTTTGTGTTGGGACAATTTTTAAGAGAAGTTTCTTTGTCTCCCGAGTAAAGTCTTAGCTTCGGAAAACTGTGTCGTTCTACAGTCGAAACTTATCTGGTGACCGCACTTTGTAGCGGCGACAAGAAATCATAACGACTAAGATGCGAGATTTGCTCAGCACTGTATTAGGGCAGGTTGTGGCGGGTGGTGCGAAGAGATGACTGTTCTCATAGACACAATGTGATGACCTAGCGTGAGTTTTCATACTTCAAAGACCGCCACCGCCTTACGTTCAACTAGGGAGACAGGCAGTGTACTGTGCCACAGCTCACACGCCATGCCCCTCTGGGTACAGATGTTACAACATGTTCTGCAGTACCGTAGAAGCTAATAATCGTTCAGTAATTGTATTTGCACTTCTATATATTTAAATTGTTGTCAAAATTGAATACAATATTTACTTTTATTTTTGGGGTGCACTTTGTTGCAATGCACATAAGTTGTGAGGTGAAGTAGGCATCATGAAAATACCCAGTATTTCTGTTTTCTGGCTGCACTTCCAAATTTTTTATACAAATATGTATGGTTAAATTATCCTTGGCAAGCAACTGGACCCCAGCCCTAGACTCAAGCCTTGCTTATTCCAGCATCTGCTCATCTAATTTCTTAAGGAAATAATTCAGGTACTATCAAAAACATGAAAGGCTTATGAAGGCTGATCGGGAATCTGAATGGTTTAGTTTGGAAAATCATGTAGGTCATAAATGACCTAAGCTTAATGTGATAATCCTAGTGTTGGTTTTCATGATTGAGATCTGAGGCAGAGCAGGTGAAATAGAAAAGAAACTTTGTACAATGTCTAGGTCTAAGGCACAGCTTGTATTTGTTTGCTAAAAGACAGAACTAACAGACACTTAGAAAAACCCTCAACACCTAGGCATAGAAATTGGAACAGCATAATAGAACCAGAGGAATGAAATGCACGACTGCCACAGAAAGATGGAACTTTACCAATCTGGGGAAACTGTCATGTATCCGCTGGTGGCCAAGAGATGGCGTCACCGGGCACACGCGCTTATCCCGCGCTTTTCAAGAGCACGGACCTGGGGCACGGGACGGATGCTCGGGCATTGCAATTCCAGGCGCCATTAAAAGCACATCTGGACGCTCCTCGGTGTCGTGGCTTGAGCTTCGCCCGGGATACATTACATTTTGGCGACGAGTCGGTCAACATACAAGAACTACAGCGGGAACAATGACCACCCAAGGCAAGCTGGAAGAATTCAACCTGACAGCTTGGACATCCTGGGCCGATCGTTTTGGTTTCTACTGCGAGGCAAACGACATAGCTGAGCCTTCAAAGACGAGGGCTCTACTGCTTACGCTTCGCGGAGCACAGACATACGAAGTAGTGCGAGCACTCGTTGCACCGAGGACACCAGGAAGCGTCCCTTTCGACGAACTCATGGCGATGCTGCAGATGCACTTCGACCCCCGGCCGTCAGATCTCTTCAGCAGAACGAAGTTCCAGCGGAGAGACCAGCAGCCCGGGGAGTCCATTGCAACCTACGCGGCAGCTCTAAAGAAGTTAGCCGCTGACTGCAATTTCGGGATACTGGCGACACAGATGGCTGCGCCATCGCTCAGCTCCATCGGCGTTGCTTCGGCCGCTACTGGAACGACCGCCGACCCCGCCAGCGCGGACGCCCCTGGAACTGCGGTCACCGTGAGTCCACCAGTACCCAACCCTACCATGCTGCCTCTGGACGTAATGCTCAGGGATCGGTTCGTGTGTGGCATAATGGATGAGCACCTACAGCAACGTCTCTTTGCGGAAACCAACCTAACGTTTCAAAAAGCATACGACATGGCTGTGAGGACAGAAGGTGCGGCACAACATCAAAGGGACATGAAAGCCCAAAAATCGGAAATTTACGCAGTTAAAAAAGCACAATTACCTCCTGCGCACCTGGAACAGAAGGAGAAAAGACAGTCAGAACCACTGACATGTTACCGATGCCTAGAACAGCATTCGGCCTTCTCGTGCCGGTCCCGAAATGCACGATGTAACTTCTGCCACAAGAAGGGGCGTGTCGAAAAGGCTTGTTTCAAGAAGTCAAGAGTGCATCACCAATCGCAGACGACACACCACGTGGAACAACACGAGGAAACTCTGCAATCTGATGATGATCTTTCGGACACGTCATGGAACCTGCACGACCTGAATGCAGTACGAGCATCCAGCACGCTGCCAAAGTTCATGGTCACCCTGAAGATCAACAACCGCGAGCTGGAATTGGAGGTCGACTCGGGAGGTGCTTGCTCAATCATTAGCGAAGCCACGTATCGTCGGCTGTGGCCCAAGAACCCTCCAACGTTGAACCAGGACGGGCTGACCCTTCATACTTGGTCAGGCGAGGGTTTACAAGTCCTTGGAACGGCGAACGTGCATGTCAGACATAAATCTAAAGACTACATCTTGCCATTGGTCGTCACCCGAGGAACAGGCTGCAGTCTTCTGGGAAGAAACTGGTTTCCAGACCTCAAGATTCGGGTCAGTGGAATTCACCATCTAGGAACCAAGGACAGCGTTGCGAATATTTTGAAGGCTCATGAGGATGTTTTTGACGCCAACATCAGGGGACATAGTGGTCCACCAGTAAACCTGGAACTAAAAGAGGGCGCTACTCCTCATTTCATGAAATCACGACCCGTGCCGTTTGCACTACGTCCGGCGGTAGAGGCCGAGTTGAAAAGTCTCGAGAGCCAAGGTATTTTAGAACCAACACAGCATTCCGAGTGGGCTACACCTGTGGTGGTGGTCCGGAAGAAAGACGGGACCATTCGACTATGCGGTGACTATCGAAGTACAGTAAACAAGGAGGCGAAAACAACCGTGTATCCTATGCCAACAATTCCAGAAATCCTAACCAATTTGCAAGGAGGATTGGTATTTTCTACTCTAGACCTCACGCAAGCGTATCAGCAGCTACGGTTGACAAGAGATACAGCTGATGTGTTAACCATTAACACTATAAAAGGCCTATACAGAGTCAAGAGGATGCCGTTTGGTATCGCCGCGGCACCAGCGATTTTCCAGCGATTCATGGAAACAGTACTTGCTGGAATTCCGGGGATCGGGGTATACCTAGATGACGTGATCATCAGCGGTGCGACCGCAGCCGAACACCTTACTCGACTGGACACAGTACTGACGCGACTCGCTCAGGCTGGACTTCGACTCAAGAGATGTAAGTGTCGTTTTGCAGTTGAACGAGTAGAATACCTCGGCCACACCATTGATGCTGCTGGAATACACCCGACAGATGAAAAACTGAAAGCCATCAAGGAAATGCCCGAGCCAACATGCAGAACAACGCTACAATCGTTTCTGGGACTTTTAGCCTTTTACGACCGGTTTTTGGCAAACCGGGCAACAATTGCAAAGGACCTGTATGCACTGCTGGAGAAGGATGTCCCTTGGACATGGCAAGAACAGCATCGGCAAGCTTTTCGACAGTTAAAGCATGCCATCGCACAGCGAACTGTTCTCGCGCATTACGACGAGAACAAAAGCCTGATTGTGTCAGGTGACGCATCACCCTACGGCGTGGGAGCGGTATTAGCTCAGCTCGATGACGATGGCAACGAAGCTCCAATCGTTTTCACCTCGAGAACGCTCGGCAAAGCCGAAAAGAATTACTCACAGTTGGATCGTGAGGGGCTGGCAATTGTTTTCGCCATGGACCGTTTTCATCGCTACGTCGCGGGACGTCACGTGACGATTACAACAGACCATCAACCGCTGTTGGGGATTATGGGCCAAAAATCTCCAGTACCAACTGTGCTTTCGCCACGGATGACACGCTGGTGTGTTAAGTTGACCGCTTACGATTATAATATGATCTACAGGGCAGGAAAACAGAATCAAAACGCCGATGCCTTAAGCAGACTGCCATTGCCGGAAACTGACGACGAGCAACATCCTCCAGGCGATGTCTTGATGTTGGAAGCGCTCACGAAACCTCCCATGACTGCAACAGAACTGGCGGGCAACACAGCAAAGGATTCCATACTTGCTAAAGTGTTCCAAGCGGTCAAACATGGCGAAGTGAGAAAGCTAGACGGTGATCGCTTCGTCGCATACAAGCTCAAGGCAGCAGAATTGTCAATTCACCGTGGTTGTCTCATCTGGGGATCGCGCGTGGTAATTCCCGCGTCAATGAGATCCGAGGCCATAGCACTTCTACATGCGGGGCACCGGGGCATCGTTGCCATGAAAGCATACGCTCGGAGCTACTTGTGGTGGCCCGGGATCGACAAAGAGATTGAACTCTGTGTAGCTCAATGTGACACGTGCCAAGTGAACCAGAGAGCAGTACCAAAGGCAGAAAACCTAACCTGGGAAAGACCTACTGCACCATGGGACACCATCCATCTAGATTTTGCCGGGCCGATCGAGGGGCAGGTCTACCTTATAATTGTTGACGCGTATTCCAAATGGCTAGAAGTTCGCGCAGTTCGGAATATGGCGTCATCTACGGTTATTTCAGAACTGCGCAGCGTGTTTGCAACCTTTGGCATACCACGGAAAGTAATGTCCGACAACGGGACCGCCTTTGTATCGGAAGAAATTAAGAGCTTTTACTCCTCCAACGGCATCGCAGCGGTCACCAGTGCCCCTTATCACCCTGCAACTAACGGCCAAGCTGAACGAATGGTCCAGCAGTTAAAGAAGGCGTTGGCGAAGGGCGGAAAGGGCACGTTGGACTGTACGTTGGCACGCTTTTTATACAAGCAACACACTACCGTACACACAGCGACGGGAAAAACTCCCGCGTGGATGCTACTTGGCCGAGAGTTGCCGTCTCCGCTCGAGAGACTCCTCCACGGACCCAACTATGAACCCACGAGTTCGACAGTCCCGGAAACATTTTTGGTGGGACAAGCAGTGTGGATTCGCAAGTTTCCAAGTGGACGCACATGGATGGCGGGTACCATCACTAGACGCCTGGGCCCTCGATCGTGGATGATCGACACCGATCAGGGGCAGACACGGCGACATATGGAACATATACGACCTAGAAGTTCCACGCCACCGCGCAGAACGACTACTACACCTTCACCTGTGTGGGACTTGGCCATGGAGCCTTGCGAGGTGTCAATCACCCCTCAAGGGCCGGCTACTGCTCCTACACAACCTACAGGACCTTCATGTTCCACCCAGCCGATCATACGCACCAGCACTCGCGTGCGACGGCCGCCAGAAAGGTTCGGGTTCTCAGCCAAGTGAGGGGGAAGTGTCATGTATCCGCTGGTGGCCAAGAGATGGCGTCACCGGGCACACGCGCTTATCCCGCGCTTTTCAAGAGCACGGACCTGGGGCACGGGACGGATGCTCGGGCATTGCAATTCCAGGCGCCATTAAAAGCACATCTGGACGCTCCTCGGTGTCGTGGCTTGAGCTTCGCCCGGGATACATTACAGAAACTTTACGTAACACTGACTATTTAAAATAAGTGAGAAACCAGACCGTAATGCAGCTTGCTTTTTGAACTAACCTAAAATTAACTATCTTCAATTTTATGAGCTAACAGAATAATGACCGATGCAGCACAAAGAAAGTCAGAAGGTCAAGTTATAAGGTTACATGTAAAGACCCCAAGTTAGCAGTCATGCTGCATATGGTAAGTTTTCTTTCTGCAGTGCAGACACAAACAGTCTAATTTCATAGCTGACTGATTCATCACTCTCTGAAGGCTAACAACCTATTTAATTTTGACTTTTATGACCATAATAAGGTCAAAGTAGGAAAGTTTTAACCTACACAAAGATATACCAGGTGTTTCTTTCAAAACTTAACAGATTTGTTTAAAAAGCCGTGAAAGTTACACTTATGCGGTTTGTGCAGATGAGTTATACAGCCAGGGGGATAGAGTATTGGGGCTAATTGTAACGATCAGTCAGCTAATTATCTAAAATTCGTTAATTAACTTTTTAAATAATTAAAAATCGACACATAGTTCCAATTAGAAACTTGCTAAGCGCCATTGAAAACCACTAAATCAACTCTTTTTAGAACATAAAGCATGGGCAGCATTTTACGTCATTCTAATGAAGCGCTCAATTTGGATGTGTTTCTAGGTTTCGCTTACTTATCCGAGCACTCTCCGCGCCCGCAATCCTGTCCCCTCCCCTCCCCTCCCTCCCTCCCTCTTCCCCCTCCTCCTCCTCCTCCTCCTCCCCCGGTAGTCGCGGCGCAAAGCCACTCCCTCGCTTACCTTGTAGCATAGAGGGAAGTTGGGCGCAACTGTGTTGCACGTCTCAGCCACTGTCGAGCAGGACCGTGGGCGCAGAGATGCACTGCAATAACAAATCGAAACCTAGAAACGCGTCCAAATTGAGCGTTTTCATGGAATGCTGTAATATACAGCCCCTGCGTTACATCTTTCGAAAAAGAGTTGATATAGTGGCCTTAGGTGACGCTGAACAAGTTTCTAATTGGAACCACATGTCTATTTTCATTTATTAAGAAGTTAATTAATGAATTTTACTTAATTAGCCAACTGATCGTTACAATTAGCCCCCTATACTATGTTCCCTTGGCCGTATACCTCACCTGCGCAAAACCGCTTTGATGTAACTTTCATTTTTTAAAACAAAGCCACAAAGAGTGTCTTGGTGTAAATGCTATATGTATTCCGTTACTAAGATTGGCACATGAAGTAAACTAAACAATGAATAAGTATGGTTGGAGCCAGAATGCAGACGTTACGAAGGATCCATGTCGTACGAGGGTGATTAAAAACTTATTTCACTTTGGTCAACTTACACCTTCTGTTGGCTGCACTGTCTTATCGGCACTTTTCATACAAGGTTGCTGTATCTCCAGTCACTGCTGTGCAGGCTTGAATCTGTTAAATCAGTTCAGTTGGGACTGAGGTGGTAGGAAGAATGGCTGTCCCATGCTTAATTTGTAGAAGTGAATCAGTCACCGTTCTCGTGATATGAAGGGGTGTCCAGTAATTCCATATATATGAATATACCGATATCCATAAAAAAAAACTTTGTGCACAGTATTATGGAAATGTAAATGTTTTCTCGCAAAGAAATGCGTTTGAATGGATACAGAAGTTCTATGAAGAATGCACGAGTGGCAGTCATAAAGGAGCCAATGCCCATCCATTTCGACGACTGAGAATGACGCTGAGACACTTCCGCGAGAGGTGTTGAGACACTTCTGCAAGGCAATGGGGGATCTCCAGAGGAAACTCAAATGCTGAAGATAATCAGAGTATTGTCGTCGTCCCCATATCATAGTCAATCATTGGTCTTGAATGGTGCTATTATATTCGAGTTCTCTATTTTGTGACCACACTTGCCTCCAGATGGCTCCAACGTACTGAGAACTACCCCGGGATAGTCGTCAGCCTCCGATTGAAGTCAATAATTGGTCTTGAATGGTGCTATGACAACAAAGTTTCCTTTCTGGTGAGCCAACTTGCCTCCAGACATCTCTGCAATGATGAAAACTACCTCGGAATGGTCGTAGTCCTCCTATTGTAGCCAATAATTGGTCTTAGACGGTGCTATGACAACGAAGTTTCCTTTCCGGTGAGCCAACCTGCCTCCAGACGTCTCTGAAATGATGAAAACTACCTCGGAATGGTCGTCGCCCTTCAATTGTAGACAATAATTGGTCTTAGATGGTGCTATGACAACAAAGTTCCCTTTCCGGTGAGCCAACCTGCCTCCAGACGTCTCTGAAATGATGAAAACTACCTCGGAATGGTCGTCGCCCTTCAATTGTAGACAATAATTGGTCTTAGATGGTGCTATGACAACAAAGTTCCCTTTCCGGTGAGCCAACCTGCCTCCAGACGTCTCTGAAATGATGAAAACTACCTCGGAATGGTCGTCGTCCTCCAATTGTAGCCAATAATTGGTCTTGAACGGTGCTATGACAACGAATTTTGCTATCTGGTGAGCCAACTTGCCTCCAGACGTCTCTAAAGTGCTGAAAACTACCACTGGATGGTCGCTGTCCTTAAAATGTAAACTGAACTTTGAAAAAAAAAAATGTGGTCGTTAAAATTAATAAAAATCATTTGAAAATTTTGTAATCCTGACTTGTTGCAAAGGGACAGATGCTTAAGGAACTACATCATGTAAAATTTACTGAAAGGACAGATATAAGGCCACTGCCATTCTGATTTCAAATGCAGCACTGATAATAGGCACATTCAAGTCCCACTAAGTTTGTGCTTAGGTCTTGCACTTAGGTGTTTGCTGCTCCAAAACAGTGTTTTGGAGCAGCAAATGTGGCCTTTGGAGCGGCCAAGATAGTGTGTTTTGGAGCAGCAAAAGTGGCTTTTGGAGCAGCGAAAACAGTGTTTCGGAGCAGAAAAAGTGACTTTTGGAGCACACATTCTTAGAAAAATAAATATTTGTTTTAAATGCTGGACAAACGAAGGGCACTTTGTGTTGTGTTGTGATGCGACGTGTTTGGGCGGAATTCGCTGCTTGTGTTTTTGCTGCTGAGACATCCCACAAGTATACAGTGCTGTGAGCGTTGCCAAGCAATTCTGAAAAAAAAAAAAAAACAAAAAAAAAACACTTGCTTTCGTTTTACTGGTTTTCAATGTGGCAGATCTTTATAAAAAGTAAGCAAACGTAAGACATTAGATTGCAAGCGTCCTGGATGGTGCCTCTCGTGCAATCATGTTCACATGCACGTGAGGGCAACTTCGGCAGGCTTGCACCTAGACGTGCTTCGTCGCATGAGCAGAGACAACGGCTGTTCGACCGAAACCGAAACCATGCCACTCCGCTTTGTTGCCAACTGGTTCCCAAAATAATATACATGTACAAAATGTAACTGTCCAGCATACGACAATAAACAGTCCAGCGGTGCGTGCTTGCCAGGCCGGTGGGCGAGGTACAAGCTAAACACACAAAAAAAAAAGGACCTGAGCGTATCGATGCAAGACATTGCGAGCCAGGGTCAAGAAGTTTTTGGAGCGCTTTGTGCAACGACTGAACTCGAGACAAACAAGCGTGCCGTGCAGGTTCAGCGTGCAGGCACTGCCTTCTTTGCTTTAGGTCACTTCTCATCATCAACATTCTTTCGCGGCAGATTTTTCACATACCGGGGTCTTTCTCGGGAGAAAGCCCACCGAGAGAAACCTAGGTAATTATTATTTCGACACAGCAGTCATTGAGTTAAAGAGGGATTTTTATAGCAGCGTATGATTTAAACAAGAGCAGGAATGTCGATGCGTTTCAGTTTAGAAAGCATTATATCTGCAGCAAAGTGGGGACGGCAACACACGACGTCGCGCGACGAGAGTTACTTTGTGAGCTTTGTGAGCACAAAGTAACTCTTGCCACGTAAAAACGTGGTTTTGTTTCACAGCATGACGGCAAGTCTGGAACCCGACACACTAACGTCGGAGTGTCCGCGCACACGGCCGCGTCTATCACTAAAAAATTAAAAAAAAGAAAAAAAGACGCGAGATGAGATTCCCGAGACGACGAGAGTGCGAAACGCGAGATGGCGGGAAAAATCATGCAAGACCGCATAGACGATTGATGCAGGGTACTTTGTGTCGGGCAGTGTCTTGTGCCACCTAGCCAACGCATGCTCAATTACGGTTCTCAGTTTAGTTTCGTTTTTGAAAGGCGACCAAGATTGGTCCTTTTGCGCAGGTTTGGCACAGATTAGCCATATTTTGGCGAAATGTAGCAGGATGTAGCAGAGTTAGCCCCTTGGCGCAGAGTTTGGCACAATTGGTGCAGCAATCACATCACTGATGTTGGCAGCGCCAATTCCACAGAAATATTAGTAGTTGCACGGTGTTTAATTGGGGGAAGACCTGTGTTTCGGAATTAGTTCAATTTGAAACAAATGCATAATCGTAAACATATAATTAAAACAGTGCAAACGAGCACAAAGACAAGTAAAAGAAGGCACAGAGACACAGCGCTGACTCACGACTTGCTCTCTTTTTCGTCTTCTTAAAACAAATCAACATAAAAAGACGTGAGTCAGCGCTCTATCTGTGTCCCTTCTTCTAATTGTCCTTGTGTTCGTTTCCGCTGTTTTAATTATGTTTTTTTATACACCATCGACTAGCTCACCTCAAAACATTACTGCAAATGCAAAAAATTCACCTTTCTTTTTCCTCCTTTTTTTTTTTTTCGAGATTGATTAGTGCTAAGTGGCGCATTTGGGTAAAGATTGAACTGTACTCGCGCTCCGGGGACCTGTAAAAAGGCATGAAAGCAGGAAATAAGCAATCCTATTTTTTCTTCAGTATTTTCTTTTTCTTCTTTCTGTTAAACAAATTATTATTATTTGCAAAAAAAAAAACAAAAAAAAACAGGAAGCTTTGCTACAGTTAGCGCATTAACATTGTGTGGTGCTTAGCTGGTGGGGTCAGTAATGTGGAAACGGACGGCGAGCAAACAATTTTCAAGGCGCAATAGCCGCCCCCCTCAAGCACACACACACACACAGATGTCCCAAACTTCCGCTGCCGCCGCGCCCGAAACCCACAACTTTTAACAGCCATCACATCTATCGTTGTCTACTCACAAACGCACAAATCATTCTTTAAAAAAAAAAAAAGAAAAGCTACAGTAACAAATGGCCAGGGACTTTTCAGGCATTCCCCCATCTAGTAGTGTTAAAAGTGTTCAGAAGACGTGTATTGTCTTGTGTTGAGATGATGAGGGCAGTGGCATAGGAAAGGGAAGGGTCTTTTTTTAATAATATTGTTTACTGGAAATGACTGATTTTCCTGCCCCCCCCCCCCCCCCCACACCCTTTTCCTATGCCACCGCATCTAAGCACAAGACAATACAGGGAAAAAATTGTGCACTGCTCTAGTTTTTTTTCTTTCGTCAATAAAAATATTTAACCCTAAAAAAAAAAATTATCGCCAGAACCTTTTTTTTTTTTTTGAGGGGGGGGGGGGGGGGTGTTGATGTGAGTGGGATGTCCCCGAGTGTTGGAGTGGGTAAAATATTACGAAGTGTCTAGTGTTACGTCCAACGTAACCCAAGTTAAGTCCAAATCTCCGCCTTTCCCAGGTTCACGGGGGAGAGAGAGGAGGGCGGGGGGGGTTAGGTATACGTGTTTCAGTGCTCCGACAGGACATAATGCTAGCCACAGTGAAAATATTAATAAAAAAGTCCCCCCCCCCCCCCCCGCCACAAACACATACATACACATTGATCACCTGCGTCCAATCCCCGAGGCGTGAGCACCATTTACTCTCAAGTGCACCACCCAAGGCTAACTATTTCTTTCAATAAAAGCAAAAATATTTGCTTGAAATTAATCTAATTCTGAAACTAGGACCGCCAATATTCCCACTGACTCGTCGAGGCTGCATAAAAGCCGATGTCATTCCCAACACAAAATTGAGAACTTCTACACCACTGCGTTCATAGTTTCCCGCGACAAAATCGCGCCACACGCGGAGTGCAGGTAAATAAGATCCAACAGACTCAACAGCTTCGTGCTAACGAGCGTCCGCGCCTCCGCACGCAATCCGCACTCGGAGTGCGGATAAGAATCCAGCACAAACCGCACTCGGAGTGCGGATAAGAATCCAAAATTATTCGCACTCGGAGTGCAGATTAGAATCCACCACGGGGCGCGTTAAGTCCATGCTCCGGAGCGCGAGAGTTTGATGCTCCTTTCACTAAACGGACAGGAGTTCCACCGGAGACCGACACTCGAGCGCGCTCTTCGTGCACCGAAAATTTCTCGTAGCGCGAGTGACTTCTTTGCGCTCCATGACGTCACGTAAACAAACAAGATGGCTGCGCTGCTTTTGAGACCGTCGAGTCGAGAGGCGTAGCCGGAGCGCTGCCCCTTTTCAGTTGATCAGTGCTTAATCCAGCAGGTAA